ATTATGATTAATACCAGTGAGTGCGGGCGCGTGTTACGTTAAAGGTAGCCAATAATCTATTGTGCAGAAATTCGTGTAACAAAATTGTAATACAGTCAAACCTTGTTATAATGAACATACCCAATGATCCGTTATAACAAGGTATTCGATAATCAAGGTAATTGATGATACTTTTAAAAATAACTTTTTTTTTAATTATTAATGATAATAAAATTGTACAACAATACAATCAACTTCCTCTAAGTGCACGTTCTCACTCATTCCCAAGCTTGGTAATTAGAGATAAGTGCACGCCCGTGATTTCACGTGATCGTTGTCCAATAAAAATCGTGTGACGTTATAAATTTAAATAATTTTTGTTGTGTTAACAAAAAAAAAAAAAAGGATAAATAATTGATTTTTGTAAGAGATGGTAAAGAATTAAATTTTATACCTAGTAAATGATGATAAAGAATAAAGAATTAAATTTATTATCAGTAAGAGATAAATAATTATTATTTTGTAACAGGTGGATAAAGAATTGTTCATCTTTATTAAGTGACAAGAATTCTTTTTTTTAATAGATACAAAGGTTATTGTTATTAGAACAAAGAACAAAGAAAGCAGGCAGAGAAGCTTATGTAGTCAAAATTATTATAAATAAGACATGAATCAAGATTTTATTTAATAACTACAATGAGGCAAATTACAATGGAATCTTATCTTAATCAATAATTGTATAAATTTTTATTTTTTGGTGACAATAATGTAACGTTGTAATTGATAATATACATAATATTAAAAAAATTTTATTCTTTATTAGTATCACGTGTAACCAATGAAATGCTTTGTTTCTTTAAGTGCACACCCCTCTAAGTGCACGCTATCACTCATTCCCGAGGGAGGTGCACTTAGAGGGGGTTGACTGTAATATTAATAAATATTAAAAGAAGTCAAATGTGATATGATGCTATTGTTGTTTGGTAAATAAGAAGTTAATTTTCCTTGGTTTAAACTTTTATAATTTTTTAAATTTAAAAAGCTTTATGAATAAAGTTTATGATTTCATTTGTGTAAACTGCAAAAAATTTTGATTTGATTATAATTTTCAATTAAATAACATATTTATTACAGAATTACAGAATTACAAAATTACAGAATTACAGATACATTTACATATTACAGAATTGCAGAATTACAGGTACATTTACATATTACAGGATTGCAGAATTACAGATACATTTACATATTACAGATTTTCTGACAATTGCATACTTGAAAAGTTGTCATATTACAGAATGGCCAAACTATTTACAGACGGGATCATTAGTATTGAATAATTTTTTTTATGTAATAACAAAAATTTTTTTTATTCCACATGACTTAATGTAGTGCAATTTTCTATACCAGATTTTCTCTATAACGGATCTGCGTGGATTGTACAGTCAAAGCTCTCTATAACGAACCCCCTGTCCCGAGAATTTTTGTTCGTTATAGAGAGCGTTCACTATAAAGAAAGTGTCGATCAATCATCACATTTATAGTCATGTGATCGTAATATAATTATGAAAATTGCACATTTATCTTTTTCTTTTAAAATCTCAGTTACTGTAGATTTTCCAACATTATATATATCTGCAAGTTCAACGTTAGAAATATTCGGATCCCTTTGTTTCAACAAACATAACTCTTTCTTTTGTAAAGCTGTCAAAGTAGTTCTTCTTTTAGTTGACATTTGGTTGAATTTTAAAATATCTTTTTTTTTAAAAAAAAAATGCACACGGATATTTTATATATTTAACAAAAATTGGTATTTATTTTCTTTATTTTCATTAATGATTTAACAAAAGAGACGTAGTGTGTAAGCAATCAGTCAATTGTATTCTTATCGCTTGTATAATGTTAATATTAATTTTGTTTTCGTTATAGTTAAAGAAAGAAGTCGGTATAATATACTTTGTATCAAATAACAATAATAAATTTTGATGGGAAAAAAGTTTTTTTTGTCAATAATGATGTTACATTAAAGTTTGAATGTAAATTTGTCATATGATTTCTCAAAAACAGCTCGTTATATAGAATAGAGAATTTAATTATAAAGCTCGTTATACAAAGTAAAATTAACAAACAAAAAATCGGGACCAACACCTTAGTTCATTATAGAGAGCAGTTCGGTTTTTGGAGGTTCGTTATAGAGAGCTTTGACTGTACACATTTGTCGATCAAATAACAATTTTATTATTTCTTAAAATGTCTTCCGGTAATAATGGCAAAAAATGCATTGGATGCGGTTTCTGGGCAAGTGCTTATCATAAGAATGGTGTGGTTATCGCCACTTGTCGTCACTCCAGTTAAAAATTTTAAGAATAGTGAGACCATTCTTATGGATAGTTTGAAGGTCGCAATGTCATTCTATTAAGACATACGAAGCTAGTGATGAAGTTATAGTTATAATAGAGTTAAAAGGCAAAGAAATAATAGTTATTCCCCATGAAGTGGGAGGTAACAGCAAGATTCGGAGAATTTTGCTAGCTATTTATCAACCGGACGTGGGGGATAAGAGAGTTATCTCCCGGGTGATAACTGAATTACATTTTACAACCAATATGAAGAAGAAGAAGTTGTATTGGCAGTTAATAGATTGATAACTTTTTTCCAATGAAATATTATTGAAAATTCTAAGTTATTATTTTGAAATTTGATTTTAATTTCTTAGTGGATTTTTTATAATTTGGAAAATTTATAATATTTAGGATAAAAACAAATAATTATTATATATCAAAGTAAAACAAAAAAATAAATGTTGAAATGATATTTGACAAAGTATTTCGGAATTGATAAATTATTAATCAAAGCATTATCTTGTTTATTTGATTTACTTGATGAAAGCTTTTAGTGAATTAGCTTGTTGAATCGATTTACCGAGTGCCCAATTTGTATAAAATGGCATTGAATTATTTTATGATTCTTTTCATTAATTAAATACTTTTCCGATTTAATTACCTTTTGGCATTTTGATTCTGCCAATTCAAGGATATGTATTTATGAAGATATTCCCAAATTCCCTTAGCAATAGGTCTATTTTCCACTTTAGATCCCAGCATTTCTTCATTAAATCACCATAGAATTCAGGTATGTCTTTAGTGATTCAGGTCTTTTATTTTCCAATATATTCAGAATTAGATGAGGATTATGTAAAATGGTTTCTTTCCCGTAGTATACTATAAACATATGATTCTTTGTATATGGTTTGCCTAATAATATTTCATTTAAGTGCCATGTATGGAATGACATCAAAGATCCATTTGTATTATCTTTTTTCTTTTAATTGTTGATATGATCCTAAATCTCCTGTTTTACCATCCCAAACAGTATATGAAAAATATTATCACTGTGCAAGTCATGATGAATGTAATTTTTCTCATTCATCTGATTCATTTAATTAAAAATTTAATATAAACATTTTGCTATATGTCTATAAAATAATAAATTCAATAGTAAAAAATATAAAATGAAATAGCCAAAGTGATTTGATTTTATCTTTCCAAATAATTTCTTTAAAATTTTGATAATTGATTGTGCTAATCTCTATTCTTGGCTGTAAGAATTACTTTTCAAAGTCAAGTAAAATACGTTTTTACAACAGATATTTTAATTATTGTAAAAATACAAGTTAACTTTTATTAATTACGGAAAGCTTATCATTTTATACAAAAATGCATAATATAATATTACAATTAAATAAATAAAAATAAATAAATAATAAAAATAACTTAAAACTTCCGGAAAACTTGCGGCTTTAAAT